AAGAGAGAGCTACTGCTGGAGAGAGGTATGTCTCACAATCACTGACCACTTCTCAACCCAACTCTCTCTTTGATGGCGTTGTCGTGAATTCGCACAACTAATCCTTTCTAACCACACATATGTTGTCGTCAAATGTATTCATTGTGTTTCTATTTATTCAGCAAAATCGTTGAACTCGAGGAAGAATTACGAGTTGTCGGAAATAACTTGAAATCACTTGAAGTTAGCGAAGAAAAGGTAAGCCTTTCTTATAGTTTTCTTGTATTTCATATTTGGTTCAATAATCTTAATTTAATTTCAATTAATTTGGATCCTGTGTTGTGTTGTGTCTGCGCTTCTCTTCTCTAATTTTAAGGACTTTTGTCTCAATTAAAACATTTTTATAACAATTACTGTAGTATTTTGTTTTTATCTATTCATCCTTTTCATGACTATTTCCTTCCTAAATTTTGTCTTTTTTTCAATGAATGCTTTGATTTTCAAATTTATTGAAATTTTGTCTTTTCTTTTGCGATTCACTGCTACAGTACTACTGTTTTGGGTGTTATCTGTTTTAATGCAATTATTGTCTGTTTTGTATGATTTTTGTTTTGCTCTAAGAAGGAAACCCTAATAAACTCCAAAAATACTTTTTTTTCAAATTTTTGATTTTGTGAAAACATTTTGCAACTATAGGCCCAACAGAGAGAGGAGGCGTACGAGCAACAGATTCGCAGTTCTACCGGTAAACTAAAAGAGGTGAGTCTTATCTAACTGTTTGTCCGTCTGTTGACAGGCCATGCAAAAGGAGGAAACCTATGAAATGTCTATAAGACAACAGAGTCAGAGACTGCAGGAGGTCAGCCCTTTCCAAACCATTATATCTTTAGACACCATTTGGAAACTATTTAGTGATTTTGATGATATAGTTGTAGTCGTTGTCCTCTCTTTTTTGTGATCAATGCCTTTAATGACATAATTGATAGAACTATGACTGACTGACTGACCTGTTTTAGGCTGAAGCGAGAGCCGAGTTCGCCGAGAGATCAGTTCAGAAACTCCAGAAGGAAGTGGACAGACTTGAAGGTAGGACTTGATTCCACAGGGAATTCTTATTCTGTGTTTTTAGATACTCTGTATTATTGTTTGTGCGGTAATAATGATTGTATTGACTAATTGTAATGATAATGAATGCATTGTTTGATTGACTGATTAACCGATTGCTTACACACGACATCAGATGATCTGTTGGGCGAACGAGAAAAGACTCATCTCTTGCAAGAAGAGGTCGAAACTACACTAAAAGACTTGCAGTCGATGTGAATTAGTTGGCACTTAGGCCTCAAAACACGATTAACTTAATGTTTAATGATTTTGTGTTCGTTTACTAACTTTTAAATTTTATTAAATATTTGTCATTTGCTATAATAATAATGATATAAACTTATATACAATACAATACAATACTGCCTGAACATTGGATGCACTGATTCACGCATTTATACATTCCTTACTTAATCAAAACGTCATAATATTAGTAACGCTTATAATTATATGCTTTAATTGATTGCAACGATTGGATGTGTCTTGAGTACGTATTATTAATATTGAATTAATAGTAAATGATGTTTAATATAATTGTCATAATTATGTGCTAATTATTGGCTAATATATGAGAAAAGATGATTTGAAACATAAATGTATTTTTCAGATGAATTGGTTCACGAGAAGGAGAAATACAAATCGATTTCGGATGAGTTGGATCAGACTTTTGCCGAACTCACCGGTTATTAAAAGCGTTACCTTTATATTTGGCTCTTCTCTTGTGTTCATTCAATCGATTCAATCCTTAAGACGAGACATACTGTACTCCAATCCAATGCTTTACACACTTTCGCTCTTTTATTGGTTATTATTCCATAAATTATTCTGTTTTTAGTTATTTTTCGTTCAAATATTGAGAAGAGGATTGGTTTTCAAAGTTTATTACTTTAGATATTATTTAAAATATCATTAAATCATTGAACAATTTATTTTATATAACGAATTGTTAGCAAAATATTTAACACAATTATACCAACGCTTGTAATCATTGATGTAATGAAATGAACAGAAAAACCGATTTTTCAATTGAAGAGCAAATTATATTCTGTATTATCAAAGAAAATAAAGTCTTTATTAAAGACTCTTTAATTATAAAAATATTTTAAAACTTTGAACAATTGTTTTCACTTAAATTTAATAAATTTGTTTTATTTGAGCAAAAAATAATTGACTTCACATATAAAGTCGTAAAATGAGTTCTCATGACTCGAATACCAATGAAACAAATGATTAGTTTTGAAAAAATAATATATTTTATTGAGTGTTGAGAAGAACATCCAGAGCTTTGTCCCTATCATTATTACACGTGACTAATGCTTTAATTACATCCCTTTTATCTAATCCCACTTCAGACAACTGTCGCAATGATTCCAAGAATTTCTTGGCCTGAAATGAACCAAATGTTTATCACAATTAAAATCAATTCATTGCTTATTCATTAAACTAATAATACTTACATCAGATATTTGGTAACTATTCATATGGAGAGCGATCTCGGCTTCACAGCAGTCATAACCGGTCTCTTCCAGTGTCTGTACCTGTAATAGAAAGTCAATCACTTTTTTGTGGTCGTTGTCCATGTGTTTGACAGCTCTGGCCACTCGACTCCTTTCAAAGCCCATCGAACCGATAGAATTGACAAAATCTTTCGAGTATTGCGATAATTCTTCGTACGGGTCATTGAGTATCAGAGTTTGCTTTTCATTAACATTTTGTTTAGGTTTAGAGGGCGCACAGGGAGGTGTGTGAGACCGTTGTCTTCTAGTGGTCCGAACAGACTCTTCACTGTTCACAAGAGTCGGTAAATCAGATGCACTTTTAGAGGATCTCAAGAGATTGTGTTGAGAGTCAGACAAATGGTTAGCTGTTATAGAAGTATAGCTCGTATTACTAGACGTTGCGCCCAAATCACAGGAGTTGTGGTAAATGCTGGCTGTCGTCCAATGGCTGCTATTGAATGGTTGACCAGAATGTGGGGCCGACACACAAGCTAACGGCTGCTGGACTATTGGCTGTTGATGTTGGTGTTGGGGTCCATAAGTGGACATTAGGTTAACGCCATTCATGTTGTGAAGAGCCGGCACTCTTTGCTGACAATTATCCTCATTATTTTCAATACAATTACTACTATTGACAACATTTGCATCACTTTTACAGTTAGTCTCCTGAACTGAATGTTTGCTTTGAATGGGTTTACTCTGAAACGCCTGAAACACATCATTGAGTTCTTGCATGTCATCGATGGTCTGGAGTTCCACGTAATCGAAAGGACTGGAAATATCGCTCTCAAAGTCTTTGACTAATTTTCTCTTAATGTTCACATTTGGATCAATACTGCGATCACTTATATTCTTCGTATTATCACTCGTTCTTGTGATGCCATCCACTGTTGGCAACGGTTTAAGTATTTCTCCGGGATTTAAACGAATAGATTTCTTCACTTCATTCTTGTCATCCGTTTGTGATTTAAGACTATTTCTATTATTATCACTCTTCAGATCCAAATTAGACATCGATTGTGACAATTGTTTGCGTTTTTGTTTGTCTCGAAACTCAAACACTTCTAAAGCATATAATTCTGCACTAAATCTGTACTGAAATTGCAATCAAAACACAATTAATGCATAACTCGTGACAAACCATCACTTCATGGCTTACGTGTTGGTCGAAGACATCGGGAATCAGTGTCTCCTCCTGAGTGTATGCGCTCACATCCAGAGGTCTGTATCTCTCGGATAAGCGCATCGGTATGTCCTCCACATACACACCAACTGAAGGTGGGATCAGATAACGAGACAATACATGATCACTGCAATGGACTCAATGACAGATATGATAAGCACTTACTTTCGTGACTCTTGTTTGCCATCGTTTGTCAACAATTGAGTGTTCAATGGATTGGTGTTAATGTATAAAAACATACAACTATTGTGATAATGATTGACTAAAAACTTT